TGACCTTTGAAGTTCACTTGGGTGTCACTGAAGTTTAAATAAGACAAATTGGATTAGATGTTAAACCACACAATTATCACAGACAACTGAACGTTCATAATAATATTAAAATACAAGTTTCTTAAAGCATACATCTGAAAACATGAAGCAAAATTTAATTCACAATACAATTATATATTTACACTAAGCATAATATATTCTATAACCAACAGTTTTACATTTATTTTTGTTGCTAGAAATATATGCAATCATATTGATTTCTAATTTATTAATTAATTTCTAATTTATTCCTTAAAGATTCTTCGATTACATTAATTTGTGAATATAAAATTTAAATATAAGTGATCCTAAATCACAATATATGTTAATTATTTGTTTGATTTATGTGTGATAATTAAAAATAAGAAAACAAAGAGAAATTAGATATCACAGATCTATACACCCATTTAGTTGGCTAAATATCTAAGAATTTCATGTCACTCAGTGTTGAAAATAATTCATATGAAGAGAAAAACACAACATAAAAAGTTAGAACTGGAAAAAGTATTCAGTATTCAGATTTATTTAAGCTAGTAATGACTGAATATCGTTATTCAAAGTTGATGGGTTAGAGGCTTACATGAAATGGTTTTGTGGTCTTAGTTACTTTCTTACTTGCTAAAGCCTACACTACATAAATTATTATTTCAAAGGCCAATCTGGTTAGCAGCTTTAAGCAAAGAAGCCACAAATTGGAGACTTTCACTAGCCCTCACTTGATCTGACTTGCACTGAGTCACAAGATGTGTGACTGAGATTTTGTTTTATTTTATGTCCATTTTTATTATCTTGCCAGGACATACTTGCTGAACAGGTAAAAAAAGAGTTCTACTTTTGAGTGTGTTTAAATTCAAGATCCCAGAACCAAATTATAATTTTTAAAGTTAATAGAATTTGAGAAGAAAGGTTATAAGAATCAGCAAGTGAGAGACTTGGTACCAAATATGCAGTAGCTCTTTTTTGAAAAAGACTTGATAAAGAATTTATAACTTTGCTCTAAGCATATATGCGTGTGTGTGTGTGTGTGTGTGTGTGTGTGTGTGCATGTGTGTGTCCTTTTCCCCCCTCTATCTTTCCTAGAAAAACATTCCATTTTAGGTGTGAAGAGGTTTCAGTATAAGACAAATTCCATTCTATACTATTATGTAAATACTTAAGATATCCATGAAAACTTTTCATGGGACACAAAAGATCACACCCACTCTAATATGTACACACAACTTAAAATATGAATGTAATTTTAAGCCAATAACACTTTTATTCATCAAAATTTTTATTGTAATTTACAACCTGTTAGATTGCCTAGATTACTTTTCTCAACCATAAAATAGAAACATAAAGTTATGTCATTCATACATATATTCAAACATATGTGTGTACATGTATGTGTGTATATATATGCATATGTATATATATGCATGCATATACACACAACACACACACATATACACACATACTATTTTGGCAAAAGTAAAGAAAATCTCTGAATGAAAGTCAACCAGTTTAATTAGCAAACCATTATTCATTTAAATTAATTTTTGAAGAGATTATAATTTATTGAGCAAAAGGAAAAAGGTAGAGAAAAAACTTTTGCAAATTTTACTTCAGAAATTTTAATTAAATAATATTGTCTTCTAGTATCAGAAAGATATATGTGATAATTTTTATACAACTGATAATCACATTCTTTCAACTATTAAACAACTTGACTCTGGAAAAAAACCTTTAGGAAATAAGAAAAGAACACCTTTAATATGTCTTCCATTTATTTAAGTGCTAGTTATGAGTCCTGACTATGAAAGTAAGGTTAAAATAATTGATTTAACCTTTGGATTCACAGGATCACCATCACACTGAGAGTTGCATATGTCTTTGATTTCTACTAAAACTTAAGCACATAGTGTCCTAGAAAACTCCATTACACTGAAGAATGGAACATTTGTCACTTGTTTAAAACCCAAAACCTAATTTATTTTCTAGTGATTCACATATGTTTTTTTCCTGAAGATTTCATTGCACCACATATCCCAAATGGAAGATTATATGATTTTTCTGTTATTTCAGGAGAAAAGTGAAATTTGACTAGTTTTGCAAGGGAAATAAACAGTTATGCACCAATTTTTAAAAAGAAGCCCGTTAACATTTAGCTATATTACATATATTTAAGGAAAGCAAAATTATCTCTGAGTGAATATTACTTAAGGATAATTTCTGTGTGACTGCTGAGATTTACAAAGTTCTCACGTTTTCTTCCCCCATAAGGATTCTAAATCAGATTGGTTCAGAGGAAAAGCCAGCCTACCCCATTTTTCTAATATTATCATTTCTCCAGATGGTCTTGAACACATCTATTCAATGCCTTTTTCCTCAAAAGCAAAGAGGTATCTTATGAGATATGTACATACATCCACTACAAAAGCTACTTGTTTTTACTTCTTTTTTCTTTCTCATTTCACATCAAGTCTCTTTCATCTCCCATCAGGCAAGATGAGAAGTAGGAAGTAAGCATAGTGGTTGCCTGAAACTTCATCTTGGCAACCTGAGCAATGAGTGAGTTAATGGTAGATCTTTGAAAACAAGTGACCATGGGAAATTAAGGTTGGCAGGGATTTAACTCTCCATGAATCATGCTGGAATATATTTAAGGGCAATGCAATGGCTGTTTTAACCATGTTTGACATCTAATTAAGGAGGAACAAGAAGTAGCTAAGAAAATTAAAAATCTCTACTATAGTTTAGAAACAAAGTACAGATAATTGGCTACCTGGCATTTGCTTTGGCAAAACAAGTGCACAAGTAGAGACAAAAAGATAAAGACAGACCAATAAAATGACAGAAGAAAAATTGTTTGGACCATTTCTTTTATTCTTCTTGGTGTTGTTCATTTTACAGTTTCTTTTACCAAATTGCCAAGTTCTAGGTACAACGATAGAATTATGCAGCTTTAGGGCAGTTTTTGATTTAAAGGAAAGCAGAATACTTCTAATGGACCTCACTGCTAAAAAAGGCTTGTAAAGACAATGTCAAATATATTCATCTTGTCAATATATACAGCCTGCTTTATCAGACAAGTTTAAAGCATGTGTGCATGACAAAGGGGTGTTCTAACTAAATGCTGTTTTTTTAATATATAGAAAGGATAGGTGCCCCCCCTTAATGGAGAGTAATCTATTACCATAGAAATAAAATTATTGCAAAATAATGATGCATACTTCCCTGTTTTTATTTTATATTACAAATCCTTTAGCACTTAGACAAGTATATCTAAATCAACTAGATTTTAACAATGCTTTTTTGTGATTTCAAACTTGTTAATCTAAAATTATAGCATATAGCTATTCACATCTTTAAGAACTAAACTTGCATATAAAACTTACTCATAAGGAATATAAACTTGGATAAAGTGGACCACCAACCTAAGAATTATTTTATGGTATCTTCTCATGGAGTAAAAATGGAAAGCAAAAACTGATAAAAACACAGATGCCATAATATCATATACTCTGGAAATAATTTAAAGACAGTTACTGAATAGAAACATAATAGAGATTGAATTAAATATTTAAGGGATGCTATAGGATCTCTTTAAAACTTGCATAATAAGTATAATTGCAATACTGTTTGTGGATGTTTAAAATATACTCCCAATTTGATACACAAGAAATTATGCCAAAAAATATTTTCCAATGTATTTTCTCTGACAAGTACTGAATTCAAATAAACACTTTTAATAGGTGTTTAATTATTTAATCCAAAGTGTGAAAATTGCATTTCTCTTTTCTATTCGAGATCTTTATTCACACTACAGCATTCAGAAAAAGATGTTCTCCATCATGTGAAAATTAAAGAATATGTTTTCTGGCATAAGAGCAGTGTACAGTAGACAGACATCTCCATAGATAGATTCAATAATTTTCTTTGACTTTATAGGCTAAAAGCGGAGCATAATTGAAGCTTCTCATTGCCCCACCCCCAATTCTAGAAATCTGAGAATCATAAGAAATCAGCACCTTAGGGAGTATATCTGCTTGTGAAAACATTTTAATTTTCAACTCTATTTTAATAACACTTGAATTATATAAACATATTTTGCCACTAAAAGTTGTATATATCATTTTGAAATCTATTTTAGCATTACTTTATACATCTATCTATAAAATCTAAACAAATATAGATCAAATATTTTCTTTAAAATCCTCATTAAAAAACAAGCACATACTTAAACTGTGACCAAATAAATTACCATGTGATGAGGTTATTTTTTCCTTTGTCAAATTTATACTTTTTTAAGGAGAAGTTCACGCAACTAGCTATGCAACTGGACAGTAACGCCTCTTCAATTCTCACTAAAGTACATACGGAATTAAATAGTATTATATTTCAAAGCCTTTAGCTTTACAACAATTAGCCAAATACACAGTCTTTTGTACAATCATAACACACTGTAGGAAAACTAGTCTGTTCTCTCCAGTTTATGTTCTCTTGGCAAACCATGATCTACCGCTTATGTTAAGCATCTGATTGTCAGATTTGAACAAACTGAATATTCATGATGACAATTAACCATTTAGTGTCTAAAACTAAGAAAATACAATTTATTATAACAATTATTATAGGTGAGGCATGCACATCTACAAAGAGACCTTTTTTGCATTAGTGTTTTTAAAAAATACTTTAATACAAGTAAAGTCAGAAAAATTAACAGAACATGGGTCAGCATGTACCAGGCATGCAATTCTCTGGAAATGTGATTAAATGTTCTTTGTTTGCATTTAAATTGTCATATATCAAACCGAAGACAGGCTTTTTTAAAAAAGTGTTTAAATCATCTCAGAAAGATAAACATAATCACATAGGTTTCCCAGGTCAAACTAAAGGTTTGATGGTTTGGATTGGGAGGGAGTTCAAGGAATGAAAGGGACGGCATTACAGAGCTAGCCAGATAAAAGAAAAATATTTACCTTTGTAGGATAATTTCAGCCTTGGCACATTGTTCTTCCCATTTTGGTAGTTTGCTCTTGCTGTAAGTAATACTCCCCAGAAAAGACAGACAATCCTAGTCAACCAGCCCATGCTGCAGACGCTGTAGGTTCCTTTGCTGCTTCAGTCTTCCTTCCTGTATTGTGCGGCCAGAGAAGTTCAAACAATCTGGAAACTGGAGGTAACAGGTGATTTAGGTCAGTTTCATTCATAAATGTAGACAATCAAGACCTCATGGCAACACTAACACCTCTTCTTCTGTAACAGCCACTGAAGCACAGAAACTTCAAACCCTCCAAAGGAAAAAAAAAAAAAAAAAAAAAAAAAAAAATCCAGCCAGGCACGGGATAATGAGGCACAACTGTTGTGTGTGGGGGGGAAAAAAATTAGCAAGGGCTGCTGCAGTGGTGCTTAAGAAGCAGTTCCTTTTATCTACGCTCCTCTGATAGCTGGTGGCGGACTCTAATCCTGCTCCCTGCTTCAGTCGGCTCCGAGGAAGCAGAATGAAAGGGAAACACACAGAGAGAGAGAGAGACAGACAGAGAGAGAAAGAGAGAAAGAGAGAGAGAGGAACCGTGAGCAGCGCAGACTTTTCCTGTACACATGTAGGGAGAGATGACACAGGATCCCACAGACAGGTTTTCCCAACACTCACTAGACCAGCTGACAATGGGAGAACAGGCGAGCTCAGCCCACTCCCCTTCCCTCCTGTCACACAACACATGCAAAAAACATCTCGTAGAGATTACAGCCGGGAGCAGAACCCTCCAGCGTGCCTGTGAAAGGCATGTAGCTATAAATTTACTTCCCAAGGCAAGCGCTGTTTTATAGCCATTTTGGGGTGCAATTTTGAATTAAAAATCTGAATTCTGCTACCTACATAATTTATAATCCGTGTTCATTATACAAGCCCACCGAACTTGTGCATTATGTGCATGAGTGTGTGTGTATTTATATGCTTCTCATCCATATAACTTTAACCACTGAAGGTTTTAAAGCCTTGTTAGAGATCATTCCCTCCTCCAAACAAACCCCCTAGGCTCAGCCATCTCCTTCCCCCGCCCCACTGCAATTTCAGCGAAGAAATTCCTAGTAAAGCCCATTTCAACAATCAGTTCAAGACAAATATAGGTCCACTGAGAATTATAAATTACAACAGGGGATTCTCAAAAGGATACTCAGAATTTAAAAACGTCTATGGTTTTCCAGCTTCTGGAATGCTCTGGCTAACATTTTTAATGCATCACATCTCATTAATTAAAGCCACATCCCTAGTTTGGTTTAAAGGGCAGAGGAAGATGACAAAGTTCACAAAAGTCCCTGCTGAGTGTCAAGGACCAACATAAAAAGAATATCTCTGTGTCTTCATGAGATGGTGAAGGGTTACTAAATTTTCCGTGGGACACATATGCACGTATTCAGACAGTCCTACAAACGCTGTTAGTTCTTTCTTAAACAGGCATGTTGTTTGTGGTGTCTAAATTTCCTCTTCTGTTTTTCTTTCAATTTTTCCGAAAGCTGATATCCTTATAGGATGTTATTGGGGAATGTTGTATAAAAGTTAACAGGACGGAACTTTCTTCCCAACTCTCTCTGTCCGACCCCTCCTACCATTGCTGCTCCCTCCCCCAGCCCTCCACAGACACACAACACTTTAAATGTAAAAGAGAAAACTCAACTTCAGTACTATGGAATTTCTTGGCTGAAAGGAGAGGGTGAGGTTCACAATTAAAAACACAAACACTGACTGAAAGTGGCTTAGTATTCTTACAAAAAATGATCTAAGCATTGTCACTTCAGCTTTCATTGCTTAATGTCTACAGACCAATAGAGAAAGAACAGCGCCCTCTCCCTCTCTGTCTGTCTGTCTCTCCCTCTCTCTCTCTTTCTCTCTTGGTGTGTGTTTGTGTGAGGGCAGGTGGAAGATGAATAAAGAGGACAGAAGAAGAGGATTTAAAAGGAGGAGTGGGGAAGGGGAAGAGGGATTCTCTCTGTACTCCACTAGATTGATTCATCAAACAAATCTTATTGTATTTGTCAGTTTCCGCAAGCCTATTGATCAGTCAGTATTGTTAAGAAAATAAGATCTAAAAATAATGTTGATTTTACTGATTCCCACACTTGTTATCCTGAGCACTTTTCATGCTCTAGGCAATGGATTAAGGCTACAAATGACAAGAGGCTTGTCTGTCTTCCATGGATTACTCTCTATAGACATTCATTCTGCAGAGGAATTCATGTCACTTTGGGATTATTTAGAGGATTGAAGTAATGAATCATCCTATTGAAATATCACATAATCAGTTTAAATACTTTAGTTTCATCATTTTCATTAACATATCTTTTAAATGACTTAAAATATATTTCTTACTCAGTTCTTGTTACATAGAGTAGAAGAGCAAGTTAATTTTGTCAAAATTAAATAGGATAAGCATATTTGGAAATGTATCCACTTCCTCTGTATAATGCCTGGACACACATTTTGATGTGTTCCAGGAAAAAATTAAACATTGTAAGTAAATTCAGATAAAAGAGGTCCAGAATCGACTCTATGGGGAAGACAGACATTCAAACTAGATTTAGAACCACAAAATCAGGACAGAGTCATTTAATTTGTAAAACAAATAATTTAAATTGATGTTGATACCTGGAATTCGGTAGCAGGTAGCATAGACACCCCCACATTTATATACATACACATTATTTTTTTTTAAACTTGATGTATGTATGGAAGTTTTTATGATCTTTGTGTTTTTTCAGATGTTTATAAGTTTAATGTATTCATATTTACATTTACTTTCCTGCAGATTTTTTTTTTAATTTAAAAAGAGCAAAAATAGCAAATTCTCAAGGGAAACATAAGTTTTATTGTTATAAAATAGAAAAGTCCAGCCATGCATAGATATTTTAACTGTGATTTAAATAAAGAAGAGGTAAAGAAAAAAACTGCATGCCTAAGAAATACATGCAAATGTACTTAGAATCTTATATTTCTACTGATTCTCAAAGAAATTTGTTCTTAACTTTTTTTTTTTTAACCTCTAAACACCCTGAGAGGTAAACGTGGTTAAACCTATTTCTCCACAGAAGTAGAAGCAAGGTTGGGGGGGTGGACCTGGGTTGGTATTTATCGGAACCTATCAGAATCTGGCTCCATATGTGAAATATGGATTTTGATCCACTTCTCCCAGAATTACTCCTTACTCTGAGAAACTGTGGCCTAAGATGTGACATAAAGCCTGCTGTATTTGCCACCATAATCATAGATTTTACTGAATCATTTGCTACTTTTTAAAAGTAAGAAATATATATTGACTTTTGAATATTGGATTTTATTTAAGGTATAAGTGAAGTATTTTTACTTATTTCTCCTTCAAAATAGTCACTATTTTCAGTTATTTTCTAATCCACAATCTACATCATGTACTATAACTAACACTATTTGCAACTGAGTTTCTAATATCTTCTAATATGTCAAGTTTTCCAATGTGATTAACTCCTGTCACGGAATCAAAGCTTAATATGATGGCCATGCTGTTGTACATGTTTCTGTAAAATAAATCAGTAGTTTTTAACCTCACCCCATTTCGTATTAACTTGGAATACTGAGATTTTTCCAGAGTGGCAACTTTCTGGGTAATGTACTTGATATTCTAGAGAAACACTTCCAACTTCACACAGGTGAGTTAACTATTGTTTTCCAGAAAAGACCTGTATAATCATAGAAAATACATATTAAAGTATTTCTCTATTGGGAATATGTTTTTGATATTTTCATTTATTGGAGGAAACCAATGTATATTATATTTTTCGTTATAATGAAACAAATTGGGATACCTGTAAGCATTGCAATTTAAGAGCAAAAATTGTTCTCATTCATCTGAGGTATTCTAAATGACTTTCCTAGGTTTAAATACTCTGGATCTTTCTGTGAGCAAAAGGTAAAAACACTTGGTATATTTGTGCATGAAAGAATATAAGGAGAAAGTATGTTTTAGATGTATTTAAAATATTGAACGTATAAAATGTACTTGAAGTTATGGAGCATTTGATTAAACAAGCTTACCTTTCCCTGCAATCTTCCTCCAGCCCCATTTTATTGTGATTAAATAGAGGAACTGTCCAAAAGTGTGTACCACCTACAGAAGTAGATGACCTCTTTAAGGGATATTACTGAGTTAGGAATTTCAAAATGAGTTGGTTAACCAGTTCTCCTAAGAAAAAACACCAAGTAGGAAACCAATACTAAAAACAAACAAATTTCAGTACTCTTCCCAAGGTGTTTTTCAATTGAGTCATGTAAAAAACATATATTAGTTTCCACCCAACATCTGTTATTTCCTGTTATTTTTTTTTTTCTTCAAGGGAGTGCTTCATTAGTATTTGAGAAAGGCGTATGATCAACAGAATTACAGCAAATGTCATAGTTGAACACTTGCCCTTACTGTGACTTCTCATGTGGGAAATTCATTTTTAATGAGGGTTTTTCTGGTACAAGGAATTTGAACCTTCTTTTTCTAAAAAAGAATTGTGTGGGTGAAAAAATTCTTTCGAAGATCAGAAGACATCCTACTAATTGGGAAAACTAAATAGATGTATTATTCGTTCTAGCCAAAAATGATAGTGATTTAAGAACTACTGTGGTCATCACTGGGAACAGGCGATGGCAGGTTAAAAGCAATGTTTAAACAATTAAGTTAAACTTTCCATAATTTGACCCTTATGAATGCTTTTAGTATAAGCAACATGTAAGAGCATGAGTCGAGAGAAGGAATTGGTAAAAATGCAAAGGCAATTCAATCTCTAGGGAAGCATTAACTCCCCCCACCCCTTCAAACCTCCCACCCCCACCCATGAGTAGAGATTTTAATAAAACAAGCTCTTCCCTCCTCTGGACTGAATTTGTAACAGTCAGAAAAAAATAAATAAATAAACAGTTTTGTGTTTTCCTGTCTTCTCTTGCAAAATACATGTTCATTACACTTAAATTAAATAGGGACTCAGAAGATAAAAGATTCCTTATTGTTCAAATGAATTACAGTGATAAATACTAAATCTATACAGAAAGAGACCAGAAACCAGCTGAATAGTCACTTTACTTGTGGCTGTAGATTCTAAGAAAGACAATTAAAGCTATCAAAAATTACAGGAAAAGTCTTTTGTTGGTAAACTTCCTTTTCCTTGAGAATTTGATTAATGGAGCTAACTGGTAAACTTTTCTAGGTTAGTAAGTTTGAGTGAAGGTTGGCAGAGAGTGACAAGAGAAGGGATGCATACAATTTCATGAGCTGTGATTAATATCCAAGTTGCCAAAAGTGGCTAAAATCCAGTTATAGGAATATGATTTATTACTTTTATGGTCCTCTATTTCTTTTGTTCTTTTTAAATCCACCATATTTTTCAACATTTCAAAATGTCTTAAAGATGGCATTTTCTCTGCTATTCTGTTTAATTCCTTTACTAGATTATCTGATACATGAATGCAGTGTTCCTGAATATTAATGTATTAAAAAAACAATAAAACACAGAAAATACCTGTAGTTTTTTATAAGTGAATGTCTCCAACTCAAATGGAACAAGAAAGTTTTCAAGTGAGACAAAAATCCCATTGTTAATACTGATCAGTCCAGGCTAGGCAGTGAGGGGGAAGAAATGAGGCATCTGTGGCATACAAATGAAATGAGCAGGTTGCTGCTGAGTGTTGCACGACATGAA